GTCTTCCTGTTTCCCTGATGGGTTTCAATCAACCTCTTCAAATAGGAAAGAATGTGGAGCTGAGGAAATGGGTAAGAAGTAAGCGGATGGCCTTCAGGCAAAGAAAAAGTTATTTTTCCTGAGAGCTCCAAAATTAGGAAATGGAAAGAGCCCGCTGTCTTTTTTCCACTGTCATTTACACATGCTCAAGATTGGAAAGAAGATTGGCAGCGAAAAGGAGGGAGCAAACTTGCCCCTGATTGAGTCCAGTGGGCTAATGCTTCAGGCTGTAGGTCTCATTACAAGCCGGGATTAGTGGTGGGAAAAGCGGTCAGAGAACCAAAACACTGCTTCCAGGGTTGAATACACAGTTCAGGATGTTAAGGCTCAGGAGCAAAGTCTGAGACATAGAAAGTCTTTCCCTCCAATACTTCCTTCAGTTTTTAAAAAGTTGTAAAATGCATAAGAAGTCCGCAGTTGATGTAGTTCATTCCAGGTTATCTTTACAAATGTACATTTCATTTGCTTATAAATTTGTCACTTTGCTGCTGTGCGGTTATCAGTATATCTAAGAAGACTTCCCAAATGTGCATTGTGTGGAAACTGTATAACAAAAAGTGTTGAGACCACAGGAAGTAAAATTGTAATGTCAACCACATACAATTTGTCAGTAATTTCGTCAGAATTAAGATAGAAGAGCCCACTGCTCATGCTGCACCACTATTTCTTCATGCACTGTAGAACATTATTAAGATCATATAATTGATTATGGAGTATTTAACTGGGTAATATTAAAACATTTCATTTAACAAAGAGCACCTAGTAGATCTTAAAATAGAAATGGTAAAATAAGAAATTACATAACAGTAACATTGGAAAATAATACAGTCAATTACAGTCAAAATGACTCGATCAAAATCTAGTTTATCCCCACATCAAACTGGTGCCACAGTAACACATGCCATGTGGTGCTACCAAACCCATGTGTTTTCCACCTCATTCCTTATTCACACACATGCATGCACACACAGAGAGACAGAGCGATACACCATATGCTTTGCACATATGTATTAGAAACGGAGCAGAAATTGAACTTGACCTATTTATAGCTCTGCATGTTAAATCTAATCGGTTACAGGCAAAAGCTAGAAAGAAGGGAGGACTTCAGTTCATATCCTCATTTCCTTTGGGATCTTTACCGTAACAACCAAGTGGCAATTTAGTTAAAGAATTTGCAAGTATAAAAATGCTTTGTTTGTGTATGAATGCAGAAGTAATGAAAAATATGAGGGCAGAAATAAAATGCTGAGAAAACAAGAGGGAACATAAATAACATCTTGACATGCAGCTGCTAATGTCAGACTGATATTTAACAACTTTACATGGCTGATTATTGCACAACATAAACAACTGTAGGTACAACCTCACATGACGCATAAGTTTTAACCATTTACTGCGCAGATGGTGTGAAAGATTTGTAGAGTTAGAAGTCAAACTTGGTGTCTTGGACTTAGTTAGTTTATAACCCCACGGTTTATCGACTGCTGTTAAAGTTCTTCATCACGTCCTCATGGGGCGTATACAGCCGTTTTGTTTATGACTGCTATTCACTGACTTTGAATCTATCGCACGCTAGGATAGTGGCTGACGGCTGTGCAGCCTCCACTTGTCACGTGGAGACTTGCATCACTGATTGGAGCTGAAGAGGGGAGGGTTGTGTTAAATTGAGTAAAAAGGTTCTCAATCAGTGTGTACAGCTCCAGAGAAAGCAGGTCCCTTCTGCTGTGTGAGTATGTCTCAGTATTGTTCTTCATTTTAACATGTATTTACATTAATTTTTTTTGGCTGGACCACAACAGCAAGGCCAGCACTGTCAGAGTGAAAGATTGTGGCTGAGTGAATCCTACAACTTTCTGTTTCAAATTAAAAGCCCTCTTTTCAAATTAAATGCCCTCTAGTGTTTCATACATGGTCCAGTCTTGTATACTAGGTTTTGTTCAAATCTTGTTTTCTATGCATTACGCTGATCCCTATGAGAGTTGTCACTTCTGTAAGTCGGTTTACAGCAGCCTGTACAGCTGAGCTGCATCAGTCTCACACATGGCTATCACCAATTTTATGCTCAGTTTCCCAACATTTTGTTCATTTGATGAATGGCTTGCAAGCTTTGGAGAAAGATGATGTCCCTATTTTTAATCCTCTCTACAAAGCTCTGATTGGTCCATTATTTCTCCATCAAGGGGAAATTGCCTGTTTTGCGTTATCTACAAATGATGTAGATTGATAATTTTGCCTGCCAGTGGAGTTTGTGTTTTTGTGTTGTGTCTGGAAACCTCACCTACAGGAGAGACTTGGTTTGTATGCAGTTTTATATTGAGAGAAACTGAATTGCTATTACTTAATCACTTTAAACCACGTGTGTTGATGCTGTGGTATTAGCAGGAAATGGTACTCAGGACGAAGCATTTTTACATTAGTTGTGATGCGTTAGCTTCCTGATTGCTCAGCACTCATCTGGCCCGCTGTCCCCTCTAGCTCTGTAGCTGTCAGAAAGGGAAGATGAGCCTCAGGTCTGCAGACAGACAGATACGACCAAATTCAGCTGTTTTTGTTTTCTGCCCTGAAGGACTCTTGCATGTCTGCTGTCTCTGTCTTTCTGTCTGCTGCTGCTGCGAGCTCGCCTCCATCACACAGGCAGAGCAATAAACCCAGCACTACACTGGCTGCCCTCAGATGACACCGACAATAACTCGTCTCTGTCTGCAGTTCATGATGAATCACATCTTCTCGTCTCCTCCCAAAATACGCCCTCAATCAGGCTAGCAGATAACCTTTTCCTCTTGTGTGAAGGAAGGGAACATTTTAAAAATTTTGAAAGGTCAAGCGGTGCCCAGAACGTACACATCCGGTGATGTCAGCAACAGTTTCTATGGCAGCCAGCTTGGACAGGAGTGGGAGTTTTTCATTAGTGCAGGGCTGGATTATTAGCAGAGGTGGGGGTGTGTGCCTGTCTGGCCAGACACATCCCGAATGATCTCGTAGTGCAGCGTTTGTGAAATACGACCCAGGAACGCTGTCTTTTGCTGCTCATCTTGTATCAAGTCAATGTTATCTCCTTAACTGTGTTTCCTTTAATCTAGCCTCCCTAGTTTCTGAGACTAATTCTATATTTAACTCAACTTGCTGCTTCTTAAATAAGAACCAGGTTTTCCCAGCCTTTCTTTTGCCTCAGCAACTCAGCTCGTTAGCAGAATAATCTATTAAAACCAAGGCTCAAGAGGGCTGATTTAATTTGAGCAATGCCTCTGGGCTGATTTAGCACGTGGATCACTGGAGCAGGCTTCGTTTGAGCTCAGGTGTGCAACTCAACACTCCCTCCACAGCTCCAGTATTTTGCTGGAGAATGACTCAGTGCAACAGCGACAAAACAAAAGCAGAGACGGCTGCTCAACAGGAGCAAGACAGCCAGTCAGCTTCTGCAACGTCAGCCTAGCCCACCAGGGCAACAGAGCCTCAGTGCTGTCATCAGATTTGTTGAATCAACCCAGCAGCTCGGATCGGAGGGGCCAGACGGAGCGTTGAAGTGCCTGTGATTTGACAGGGATGACTTAGAGAGGTGCGGTGGTGGCTGCTTCACTTGAAGGAGCCCAGGTTGTGGCTTAAGGCATACCATGTTGGTCGGGAGTGTCCCTCTGGCTGCTTGTGGAGATATTTAGACTCTGTTTGTGTGTGTTAATCATGGATTGGATGCAGTGGAGCCTTATATCACCACCGTCAGGAAGCGCCTGGCCCGCTATGCCTCAGGACTTCAATGAAACTCTGGCTCTGACCACAGCTCTGGGTTACAGTCTGTTAGCCTGTGAGACTTGTATGTTGAACTGCTGCTTTGATCCTGTGAGTATGTCCAGCAGGACTTTATGGGCCTGGTCCCTGTCAGCTTGTACCAGTGTCTCTGCTGGTTAAAGCAATTCTTGTCAGATGTTGTCGGTCTGAGGAGTCTTGTTGGCAAATGAAATTAAAGGAGTTCTGTTGCTCAAGTGAGAAAATTCATTAGAACTGTGGCCATTTCTGTATCGTACTTACTCATGCAAAGATTCAGTGAAAGTCTCAAAGTCATTCAAATGTATTTATTACTTGTATTTGACAGTGAGCTTAGCAGAGAGGAAATTACTTGGGTGGGCTATTTAAACTTAAAGTTTTATCTTTGAAGATTTTGGAATATGGTTTTCTTAATGACACTGTCTGTCACAAAATTGTCATGTAAGTGCGGTTTTGTAAGATGTCCTTTGCTCTTAAATTATAATAAGCCACTGTCTGGTTTCCTGGCTCATCTGCCAACACTTAAGTCACTTACTTCTAACAGGCGATATTGTCAAATGAGCTAACAGGCTTGTAGACAGTGTTTTGTGTGTGTATATATGTGTTAAGCATTTTACTTTTTAAGTTTTTTCAGCTTGCATGATGAAATAAGTACAAATTTAGTCAACTATAAAATTCTGATGAAACCAAAATTTCTGAAATGAAAGTAACTACATTGTTAGAAGGCAAATGTAAAAGGTTCATAGAATACAGTGTATCTTGTGATGTCCTATAACTAAGTTTTAACAATCTTGACATAACAAAAAAGCAAAAACTGTATTCCTTCATCAGTTAAAATTTTGATTTGAACCAGAATCTGTTGTTTTTGTACCTGTGCTCTTTGCTTTATTGCTTGATGTCAGTGTAGCACTTTGCTATTTTCCTTGTCCACATTTTTACTGTCAGGTTAAGCTTTCCACTCAGTGTAATAAAACTTAATATGTTGTATAATATTTTTACATAATTACTAGTAGGCAACAAATTACTACATTTTAGTTTACTGCCCATTTATACACAACATGTATTTCCTATCATGAGTCAGAATTTAATTAAAATTCAAGCACAGTGAGTTGGTAAATATTTGTCATTCATTTTCAGCTATCGTGCAGGCATGCTTCTGCTTACATTCATAACTCTGACCAAACTCCTTGTCCTCTTCACAGGAATCCGCCAAGGTTTCAGACCTCAACCCCAATGCGAAAGCATGGGCCAACCACATGTTTAGCCTGGACCCCAGCGGAAGTGCTGACACCACAACTGCTGCCCTGCAGCCATGGAAGGAAGGCTGCGATAGTTCGGCCGACCCCGGCCCAGAAGGTCAGCTAATGATTTGGGATGCAAAATATGTTGACCACTTTTGTACAAAGCATTTGTGGAGTTTTTGTTTGTTTGTTTGTTTGTTTATTTTGTGTTTCTGTTTTTTTGGCAATTGTAGCAAATTAAACTAGATATAAATGCACTGCATCTGCACATCAGAGTAGTAAGTCAACAAAAGTCATCTGAAACATAGATTTAAATTGGATGCACATGACAATTAAAAAGCAGCAGATAGGTTGGACTGCAAAATACTCATCAGAAAGGGAGTGTTGGAATATACTTGCATTGGGCAATTAAAAAAAATAAGTTTCCTGCTACTTTTAAATAATGGGTGCTTCATTAGACTGTCAAACTTTTAAATATGTGACATCCATTTCTTCATCAAGTACAGTGGTGGCTGAACTTATAACTTACAAATTAATATCAGTCAGAGCAGCTGGTAAAATGAACTTGTTCAAACATTGCAGCAAGAAAGAATTAACAAGGTTTTAGTTGGTGGCAGTTTCGTTTCGTACAACAAGTAAACTGAAAGAAAATGGTCTGAAGGTTAAGAACAAAAAAGTCTTAACATTTAAAATATTGCAGCCTAACACTGGAAACAGCATACATTTCTTTAAAAATGCCAGCATTTGTAGATGAGTAAAATGATGAAGAACTTAGAGGAGTTGAAGTGTAAGAATTTGAAGCAGTTGCTGTGTCAGTGGGAGGTGAAACACTGAAAGGAACTGAAATGTCAGTTGTAGTTGGATTACTGAAAGCGGTCAGTGTCAGTTGTCTGTTGGACTTTAACAGTGAAGGTAGTTAAATTGTCTGTTAGAGTGTAAGCAGTGAAAGGGGTTAAAGTATTAAACCGCAGCATATAAACCATGTATAGCAATTCAAATTTGTATATCTTCAACCTGCATTAATAAATTACTCTTTGTTTTTTGTTCATGGTAGGCTTGGGCGATTGGACCAATATATCGCCAATCGCCAATCGGCTGAGTCCATCACGGTTGGTTTTATTTTTGGCGATTTTTTTGGGCGATTTTTGTCATTTTATTTTGCTAAATTAATGGTCTGTCTCCACAATATTCAACTCGGTACATATAGTTCAGAAGTAGCCTACTATGTAGAGCACAATTCAAAGTGTGCACATCCATCATATCTTTGGCCAGATATCTAGACACAGCCAACGTGCACTGTGTCCATCTCGGACTGCCCTTCGGATATTTAGTGGATTTGGCAAAAGCAGCTAAGATTTTCGGCGAGTAAAGTGTGGCTTTTCCAGTGGCAGTTGAGGGAGCCGCCTCTCTCGGTGGTAACTTGGCATGCTCTTCAGGATGGTGTATTCGCAAATGCTCGTGCAAATTGGTGGTGTTAGAATCTTTTGCTGGCACCACCCGTTTGCATAGACGGCAGATTACCTGACTTGTGTCTTTAGGCTTGCTGGTTGCGTGCGGTTTAAATCCAAAATAATCCCAAATAGGGGATTTTGTATTCTTTTTCGCAACGAGCTCTTGTTGTTGTTCCTCCATTGCAGTAGCCTGAGAAACCGCCCCCTGCGCTCGCAAAGCACGCTGCATTTTTTGCTGCATTCATGTGGTGTCGGAAGATCCGAGTTGCCGAGTTGTTTAGGTTATTTATTTATTTATTTATTTATAAGGATCCCCATTAGCTGTGCCCTAAAGCAGAGCTAGTCTTCCTGGGGTCCACATTAAACAATACATTTAAAACATACAAGCCGAGTTGTTTTTCTGGCATGAGGTGGCGTTCATGTGAATTATCCCATTCTGAAAGTCATTTTTCGATTTTTCCCGACATCACATGAATGAAACATCCCCCCTCTTTTTTTTTTCTCCGCCACACACACACAACTGCCGAATATCAATCATTCAATCAATTTTATTTATAAAGCCCAATATCACATGGCCGGTTGGGAATTTTTAACATATCGCCCAACCCTAGTTCATGGGGCTTTTGTTGAACTTGCAGTGGCATGGCGCGGTTGTTGTTAGCTGTCCAGTGGTTAGCGTCGCTGGTGGAACACCATGCACCATAGATGACAGCAAAATGTAAGAGACACTCAAACCGAGCTAAAATGAAATGAGCGCTCTTAACTTAGGTAAATAAGTTTCACAATGGGCGGAGCTCAGCTCATACACATACGGAGTCAACTGAGTGGAGGATACCCTACCAGATACCCTACATCAAATATGAAAAATTGCAGTTAAACGTATTAAACGGTGTATTATATAGGTCTTTTATAAAGTTAATTCATAGGAGTTGTATCATAATGATGTGTGGTTGAAGCACTACAAGGAATTAAATTATCAGTCAGTTTGACTTGAATACTAGTTAATTTGCTTTAATTTTGAAACACTTAACAAAATTGAGGAGTCATTTGAGGTTGAACAGTGAGGTGGCGTCGAGGCATTGAAAGGAGCTGACGTGTTTGAATGAAGCCTAAGTATTGTTAGCTTGTTGAAGTAACAGTTGTGCTCTTTTCACAAACCCTTATTTTACTTTGCAGCCTGCCTCTGTCCATTCTTGTCACTTTTCTCGTCATGCGGAGACGCCTCTTGAATCATTCATACTCAATTTAGTATGAGCTATGAATATTCCAACCACAGTCACCGTTCCCTCTACACAAATGACCGTAATCACTCACTTTAATGTGCACAGCCAAGTATAGCCAACGCAGAGGCAACGTGGATATGGTGGCGAAACAGAAATTATTGATTAGTCTGACTCTGATTGACGTGCCGGTCTATTTCGTGTCCTACGTCTGCGAGGACATTTATGGAAAATTCACTGCAGAAGACTAGAGACTTAATATAGTCTGGCCACTCATGTAGTGGCCTGTTTCACCACTACAAACTCACTATGAATTTGCCATCAGGGAAGGAAACTTCTTTTCCTCAGCACCAACAGTGGCTAGTTCCCCCACCTCAGCCACTCAGTGACACTCTAGCTATATCCTCAGGAAATAGCACCTGCAAGTAGAGTTTTATTTGTGTGTTTTGCTCAGCACTGTGAAGGGGTTATGGATTTACATTTCAATATTTGGTTGTCTGCATCATAAATTCACAACTAATCAGTGCTTGTTGGTATGACCACCAGATTGTGTTGTGACACACAAGTCAAACCTTTCAGTACGTACATGCCTAAAATGTTATATTTGATGTACTCTTGGCAGCAGAATACTGTGAGACATTATAAACGTATATACTCAAAGTATTTAAGTATTCAAAGACACATTACACAAACACACAAGTAAGAAACAATCGTAATATTAATTGACAGTATATTATGAAATATTTTTGCTTCGTTAAGACATGCCTCAAATTCAGCATTGATGTCATTGCCCTGCACTGGTCTTTCTAGACTGTCTGTAGCTGGACCCGGTCCTTGCATCGGTGGATTGTTATTGGTAATGTTGCTCCACAGCTTGCCTTTCTGCACCTCAAGCAAATGCCCCTCTGACCCTTTGGTTTCACTGTCGTACTGGCACCACAGGTTGATTGCCTCAAATTTGACAATAGTGATCACATACACTCTTGGTATTCGAAAATGTTTTTCGCTGAGGTGATGGACTAAGTTGCTAGAGTTATCAGTAGCAACAATGACCAAAGCAACAATGGCTCAACAAACGTCAGATTTTGTAAAACAAACAAAAAACTCCCAAACAGCAGACAGCTTTAGGGCACCAGGGCACAAGTTCGTCACGTGCATCTCCAGTCTCTGTTTCTCCATCCTCCACCTCTCTTTTCTGTTCTTTTAAATGTACTGAAGCAACGCAGCATCTTCCAGCTGCTAATGGACTCTAAGCCTCATGCTGCCTGGCTAGCCAGCCAGCCAGTCAGTTGTACCAGTACCCAGCGTGCAGTTCAGCTGTGTATTTTTGTAAATGTAAGAGTTAGTTTGAGTTATTAATTGCTGTGTTATATAGTTATAACTGCTAGTAAGAAGAGTATGCAGTCAATAGGTGTTCCCTCTCCCACGCTACACAGTGTGCGCTGACAGTAGCGCTCTTTCCTGCCTATTGAGGAGTTGCAGCATGTGTTTCAGCCTTAAACCAGTATTGCAGTATATGAAAAACTAGTAATCTCATACATAAAATGAATTAAAACTAGTATACCAAATGAACTGGTACACAGCACAGGACTACCATTGGTACTCTCATAAATGTTTCCTTCAACATTCATACTTGTTTTCAATTTTTTCAGATGGCCCTTTTTTAGTAGAAAGTAACTTGTTTGTTTCCCAGTCTAAAATTTGAAGGCTCTTTGAACAAAGTCACAGCATTTTGGAAGATGTTCATTTAATTGTATCCCAATATGAGTACTCACTAAACATGATTAAGTTTCACCATTGTTTTATGTTGGTAAGAACAATTTTAGGGATGGTGATTTGACCGATGCAGAGTTGACTGATCTTTGTCCTTTTTTCAGTATTCTCAATACACATCTCCTTGAAAATCTAGTGTATTAAGGTGGACTTCCCAGTGTCTCCTTTAAATGCCTCCTTCTCTAAGGATTTGTCTTTATCTGTGTCTGGTAAACAGGCTTTAGATTTAGATGCTCAAGTAAACCTCAGCATTTTGGGTATTAACTCTCTATTTAGTGTTTGTGATGTTTTTTTGAAAGACATCCTCTGTTGCAAACAATATATACCGTCTAGAATTTGTGAAAATGTCTGTAGTTTTTAGACTATATGTTATGATTTTGGTAAATTTAAAAGGATAACTGGAGGTCTAGGTGGATGTCTGAAAGACTGTTATGAATCAGGTAATGGCAGGTTCACTACCTGCAAAAACCACCGTTTGTCAAGAAGCATGCTGCACTTCTCAGAGGTCACCTGCCAATCATACAGTGTGGGCTGTGCTGTGATGTCTGGGTTTATTTTATATTGGCAAAGGTTTTTTCCCTTGTCCTGCCAGCATAATATAAAATATTTTATATGGCATTGTCACAAGTTACAGAAATTATTGTATGCACTGTTTGGCTATCGAAGTCGATGCTTTAACAAGAATGATAAAGATTATCAGTCTGTAAAAGTTCCCTTTCATTTACCTTAATTGCACAAGCAACAAGGCCTTGATTTGAAAAGATTTCATATCAGATACAGATCTTTATGTCTGTATGTATGTATTTTAAGTATGTTTTACAATGTCCCTTTGAGATGTCTCCTTACTTTCTGATCTCTTTCCTGTTTTAATTTGCTGTTGATGCTGTTTCCAGCAAACTAAACACTTCCTTCATGTTTTCTTGATTTTATTTAGTAAAACATTTGTTCTGCAGCATTAATTCAGTCAGTACAACAACCTGATCATGTCATACTCACCATTGTGTTGCTCTGAGTTTCCCCTCTCCAAGAAAACCATTTTTCCATTCTCAAATCATACCCAGCCACTTTCACTTTGCCATTTTTTGAACTGCTGTTAAGGTACTCTCAGTGAAACTCAGCACTTCCTTCCCAATATGTTTCACTGTTAAAGCCCTCAAGCAGCTCAGATGATATAATTCCTCCTTTTTTGGTGGATTTTCCCATGTTTCATAGAGAGATGCTTAATAGTGAAAGGAAAAACACGGTAGAGTAAAATTGGAAAATATGAGATATTGAAAAGGTATTCCCTTTTTTAATTTATTTTTTTATTTTGTGGTTTTTCACTCAGAGCAGCATATGACATGAATTTATAATTTATGTCATAGTTAAGGTGTCCTTGTCCTCAATGTTTTATCCAAGCTTTATTTGTTTGTGCTGCCCAGACCCCCATATATTATTTGAGATGCTCACATTATTGGAATACCAGCTTATTTATAGTGATCTAAAAATGATAAGAGAGAAAGGAAGCAAACTGATTGTACTGTCCATCTTAGCGGGCACTTAACTGAACCAGGAAAAAAAGTTGAACATAGATGCCAGGCCAGCTGCCATACATAACTTCAGCAGGTATCAGTAGCCTTTTTTCCATTGCACAGGTATATCTTTGCTAATTTGGAGACGTGCTCAGATATTAGGCACTTAATCCTTCAAAAAGCACTACTTTTAGTTTAACTGCCCTTTGAGATTTCCTATTCTCACATCTTTAATAATAATTATACCTCCCTTTGTTGGTTGTCACAGGCTTTGAAGCCAGTGAAGACAAGGCTTTCAAGGAGCCCCTACTAACTGACCCAGATGAGCCTCCACCGGTGCCAGCCCCCGTGGCCTCCGTCACCCTGGAGTGCTCCGAGCCAACGTACACAGAATACCCCGAGCCTGGGCAACCAGGGCGCACAGGTGGGCTGGTTAGTGATTAGTTGTTTGTCAGAGCAGGTCAGGGACAACCTAATATGTGATCTGCACCTGGAGGGGTGTACCCCTTGATGACACATGTTTAAAACCGATTGAATAGATGACATAAAGAAGGGTTTTTTGTGGATATATGTGGTTGCTGGAGTAAAACAGAATCAAATTAAAAACTTCTGTTCATGGGAATTTTTAGGCTTTAAAAGATATATAGATATACAGTGGGATTTTTTTTTTTAATGCAGCTGATTGATTCTTAGTTGTCAAAGTGCTCTTAGCTGAGACGGATTGTATTGTTTACGTTGACAGATTAAATGAATAATCACAGTTACAGAGTGATAAATCTCTAACTGAGTGATGCTAGCAGTATTGTCTCTTTATTTTCTTAGTGATTGGAATAAAATTGCATCATGTTATTAAGAGCTGTGTTCAGCTTCAAGTAGCAGAATATATTGACTGGAGGCATACAGTGACTGCTTAAGAGCTATTTGTTTTATGTTTTATTTATAGTCGCATTAAAGTTTAATTGACCAGTGCCAGACACTATCCGCGACAAGACATTTATCTCTAAATGCCCTCTACCTGAAAGGAATGTCAACAACAACACAAAGCTAGTGGGCTAGTGTTTAGAGAAATATTACAAAACAATGTAAAAGTGCACATCTCAGGCCTCTCCCATTGTTTCCAGAGATTTCACCCCACTAAGTGAACAGTTGCAGATTAACTTGAGCTCTGATTGCCCTTTGGAGGCAGGCAAATAAATAAATAAAGATTATTAAATAAAGGAGGTATGTGACGTATATGAGCCACCGGTACAGTTCAGAAAGTTGTGCTTTGGAATGACAGACGCCAAAATTTGTTTATTTTACGAACAAGCAATAATATAATCGAACTATCAATGTTTTTATGAAAACTTAAAGCCTTAGGAATGATTTCCAAAATTGTATCCACATTCTTTATTGATTTTTAAGCAATTTTGAGAAATACTAACAAGCTTGCTACATGTTATGTGTATAAATTTAATTTTTGTGGACTTTTTAATGTAATGTTCTGCATCACTCATCACTGGGTTGCAACGGTACGAGATTTTCACGGTACTATAACTGTCTGAGAAAATATTTGATTTCACAGTATTACAGAATTATAATTATAACGAAAAGGTTATTTTCAGTTGAACAAACATGTAATTACTATTATTAAAACTTAAAACCATTTTTAATGGAACTTTGTTTAAAAAATCTCCCTTTTGAAAATAATTAAAATAAAGGTGAAATTCTCCATCCAATTTAATCCCCCCCCCCCCAATATTGTAGCTAAGCAAATGTACATGGCATGATGACTGTCAATTTTCATATCACGGTGCACCTTGAAACTAGTATACCGCTGCAACCCTAGCATCACTGCACGTCAGCACTGTCCGTGTTGAGCATCCACAGACAGCTGCAGACTTGTGCCGGTCGTGCAGACGTGTACGTGATTCCATTCATACTACAGTTGTGGGTTGGCGTCAGTCTGGGGCTGCACGCTTGCACATTTCCTGATCCACTTCAGTCCATCTTTGTTTTTGTCTTCGTCTTCGTGTTCTTCGTCTTCTGCTTCTTCTCCTTCTGCTGCTTCTTCTTCTTCTTCTTCTTGTCCTTCTTCTCCATGTTCTCCTCCTTCTCCTCCTTCTTGACAACCAGTTAGAGAATCATACACCACCAACTGGACTGGAGTGTGGAACAAAAGATCATATTTTGTAACTGGAGCATGTGCAGCCAGAGTGCTATGCACACAGTCCGCTCGATCAGACATTTTAGGCTGCGTGCTGATGTCCGCATAGTGGCCTGCTTGGACCCTTGTGGACGCAGAAAGCATTAAGCAGGCTTTACATTTTACTGATCTGAATAATGTTTTGCTCTCAGGGTCAAGGATTAGTTGAGGTGCTTTTTAATTTACCGAAACATTTCCTCTTGTGTGTGAACAGGTAGTGATCCCCAGCAAGAGAGTCCCCAGGAGGGTTTGAGGGAGCACCTGAAGAAGACCTTGGAGTTCTGTCTTTCCCGGTGAGTTCTCCTCCATAACTTCACGCTACATTACATCACAATGAGCCTGGGCCTGTTTTCGACATGACTATGAGTAGGTTTGCTTCCAGTGAGGTTTCAGCAAATAGTCTTTTTCCCTTGAAAATGAAGACACTGAATAAAGAAGTCAGTCATTCAGGTCCTCTAAATTATAGACTAAACTGTCTGAAGCTATGTTGTCATCAGTCATTGTGTATAATTGGTAGTAGTTTTCTTCAGATGGTCAATATCCCATTTTTTTAAGAAACTCTGGAAGTATGGAAGCATTCTCCCTATAATGCAACACAAAAAGGAAGAAAGAAATATGCTAAACCTCAAATTGTTGAGGAATTCCTTTAATGTATAACAGCAACTAACTAAAATCTCAGACCCCATCCCCTTCTCTCATTGCTCAGCAGCTGTTTCACACTTGTTAATGGAAAAAAGCACTTAAAATGAGCCACAGCAAGAAAAATGGCCGCTTTTAAGTGATCATTAAAGAACACCAAGACCAGAGAAGAAAGGCTCTTGTGGATGACTCATTGTAGTCTCCTCTCTGGTTATTCTGCCTCATGAAATACTGATGATCCGTTTCTTCATCACCAGCACAACAGATCATCTCAGTGTGTTTAAAATATATATATATATATATATATATATATATATATATATACGCTGTCAACACATTGATTACATTCATCAGCTTCACATAGGACGAAAAGCTAAAACTATGTCAGCATTTCCATGAGGGTTCAGTCTTTAAATCTTCCCACCTGTGTAGATGTCTGCATTTACAGCTATGTGAAGTGTGTGCACCCAGAGCTCATATGTGAACATTACCATCCACACAGATACCTAATATAGTGTTAACTGTGTGTTTGCATTTTGGAATATCCAGCAGTTTAATGTTTATGGAATTCATGGGTTTTTGTAGATTTCAAGAGGTCTTAAATGTGAATAGATTGCCTAAAATAAACGTCACCCTCCTCAAATCTAAATCCCAACCACCTCCTTAGTAAGGTGGTGGTTGTTGTTGAGCTTTCTCTGCATGTAGTCATTGCTCACTAATTTATAAAGGCATATTGGAGAGAGGTTTGATTTCAGCAAATAAGTTGAATCTCTTACTCCTCTGCTGGCAGGACAAGAAACTTTGTCATAGTTTGACCTTTTCTGTTCATATGATGCTTCTCTTTCATCCTAAAAATCTTCCTTATTGCAGCTTTTACCAAAATTCAACTTCAGTATTATTGTTCCCAAGTTGAAACATGCAACACAGAAAAAAAATAAAACACCCAAAATGTGTAATAACAATTAGTACACTGTAAAGCTTCATATCTTGGCTCATCGGCACTCCTCTCAAATCCTAATAAATGGAAATGATGATTTATCCGATGACTGTTCTTCTGGGTTGTGCATCCTTAAAGTCCAACTGGAGTCACATTTAGTCATCCCTTTTTTCACTTTAAAAATAATGTCAATCTGTTCTTTAAATGTATTGTTAATAAGTAACAAGGAAGACAAAGGCCTTTGGGGAAATATCAGTTAACATGCTGTTAAATGTGCTGCAGCTGGCGTTAGCAGTGCACTTTTCCCAGCTGAATGAGGGTTTAGTGGCTCTTTCAACAAGCTAAGGTGAAGGACAAGACAAGTGTTCATGTTTGTATGTGATGTATGAAGGAGACTAGCAGGAGAGCTAATGTAGGTTGTTGTTGTTGTTCAGAGTCTGTGGCTCTTGTGTTGTTTAGCTACTTTCTGCCTCTGCTCTATGATACACTGCTGATATAACTGCTTTGTGCAAGACTTGATTGGCTTTATCAAAATAAGGTCTCCGTCTGTGGAATGGTATTCAGTTGAATTAGAGCAAAACCAGTGTGCACCATCATGAAACTGAAAATTATAAAATCACATTTGTTAGTCTTAATCTCTGGCTAATTGTAAGACAGTATGGACTGTTGCATTTGTTAAGAAAGCACATTGTTGTATGAGTAGTAATGTTTTTCTCTATGTTTACTTACAATCAATTTGTGGCATAAAAATAAAGCTGCAATAAAAGTAATGTGACATTTGATACATTAAAATATAGGTATTGATAAGAGGGACGGGCATGAGTATGCAAATATTTGATTTTGATGTCAGTTTGCCTTGTAAAAAAAACAAACATACTTGCAAGCTTAAATTGGCCTTGTTCTGTATTCAAAGTTTTTGGATGGGATGCAGTGATGTAACTACTATCTATGAATAACTGCACAGATCCATACAGCAAAACTAATAGATTAGTATTACATTACAAGCAGAATGGTGATCAGGCATACCAGTAATGTTAGTATTACGAGAAAATAAATAAAATGAATGTGCAGTGTTAGGTACATGACATTAAACTTGCATGTCATAGCTAATCTCTACAGTCTGTACAGTGCATAAAGGTAGGCCAAGCCAAGCCCACATTTTTATTATTATTATTATTATTATTATTATTATTATTACCACTATTATTTATTTCTTTATTTATTTTTTATTTTTTTACTGCACTATATAATCATTTGATGATTGACCTCATATACAGAAATTAATTTAATGCTAATTAATCCTAATTAATTATTAGCTATATATGTTTTTTGCCATCAGTGTACTGTGGGACTATGCATTGTTTTGATACTGGTCAAGCATCTCTCTCTCTTTCTGTCTCTCTCTGTGTCTTTCTTTCTCTCTCTCTCTGTCTCTCTCTCTCTGTGGGTGTCAGGCGTGGTCTGAATGAAAGCTTTATGTCATAGTGTTGAATGCCTCTGGTGGTTTAGCTGCTGGTTTGGAGGAAATCAAGGCCACACTTTTCTTTCTTTTTCTTTCCTCTTGGCACAAATTATCCAGTATAGTTAACTGTGCTGTTACCTTCTCCAAAACTACAAAGAACAACAAAACTCAAACAACAAAGACTAGACATGAAGGGGAGCCAGTAGTCAAAAACACAGTGAAACCAGAAGCGTCAAGTATTTAAATACTGGATGAGAAAATATCTGGAGATGGTGAAACCATGAACACCTACATAACATTTCCTTTGACAAAACCACTGAGCTCACAGTTACATTAGTAAAGCAGCCAAGTGTGCAACAGCTGTATCTGAGAGGTACATGAGTTTCACTGGTTCACGTTCCCATATTTATTACCCTTGGGCTTCCCAAATAAAGCTGCTTGATGTTCATTAGATGCAGAGTGTGGTTACATGTGCCACCTCTAAGGTGAGGACACTGTAGTTGGTAATCAGAGAAGTGCAGTCAACTTAATCTGTGTAAACAAGGGTTAAATTTCACCTCCACGCAGTTATAAGGACACATATTCTAACCACTTCTGCTTCTTCTCTTCATATCAGGGAGAATCTGGCCAGTGACATGTACCTCATCTCCCAGATGGACAGTGACCAATATGTGCCAATTGTGACGGTGGCCAACCTGGACCATGTCAAAAAGCTCAGCACTGACGTGGAGCTGATCGTGGACATTTTACGATGTGAGTGTTTCCTTCTGACATTTGTTATCCACTTTATGGTTTGACTCACCAACCAGCATCTTAGAGTAAAGCAGGACCTTGATGATTGTTGCTCACGTGCTCAGGGGGCTGTTTGACGAGACAAACTCACCAGCCACGATGAATTTCTATCAGCATGTGGTCAGGGTTGATTTCCCAGGAGAGGTTGTTAAAGTGCATTCAGCAGAGTCTTACCTGCTTGTGTTTGATTTATACAGTACACATACTTAATTTACTACTTAAATTAATCCTGTCTGGATTGAAGCTGCACTTTTATTATATGGCTCAGTGTCAAGATTTTATGTAATGAAATTGGACAAGATACTGCAAGCAAACTGTAACTTATTTGTGCTGTTGTTAGGCCCCATGTACTTGTATTTAATTGTTTTCACTGAGATTTGAGGCATTCAGTACTAACAATTTTCACATTAATTGACTAAGAGTGAAGAGTTCGAAGGTAAAAGCCAGTAAATGTAATTTTTATTTTTCAAAATCCAAACCATAATCTGTGAATGCTTCATTCTAATCTCCAGCTCTGCCATTGGTCCAAGTGGATGAAAAAGGGGAGAAGGTGCGACCCAATCAGAACCGCTGCATCGTGATCCTCAGAGAGGTTCCTGAGAGCACGCCCATAGAGGTCAGTGGGTGTTGTACGGTGTTGTGCCATTATTCCACCTCGCCGTTCTGTATTAAAAAGTATGATCACAGAATTGGATGACAGAGATGTCTCACCTTTAAGCCGACAGCACAGGTAGTAACAGCACCAATGGACATCTGTGTAAAAAGGACAGCCAGCAGGAATGGACACGTGTGACGTTTTAATGACCTATAATGTGTGCGACTTTTGGCCTGGATATTTAAAAAGCAGCTAGAAACAGTTAGCAGCTAACTCAAACAAGAGCAGCAACAGAAAATGTCCGCAAAGTGGGGAGACAATGAGGTCCAGCAGCTGCTTACCATCCAGGCAGAGGATGAGATCAACAGGCACACAACAGGGACAGAAATTACTGTTATTGCCATGTTATACCATTATTTTCTAGAAGGCACCTCCTGATGTGTAATGTTATATGTCACACTAGAGGCTGCTGCTGTGTTACAAGTCACGTCTGTCACATCTTTTTTGTTTCCAGAATGCCAGCATACGATGTAAAATCACACAGCAGGGTGACATTATACCCGCATGGTTTGGATCTATATTAAAACAAAGTAAAGCCGGTGTAATGAATGGTCCTCATGGCAGCCATATATAATATAATATATAACATAACCCATACAAAAAGAGACGGAGCAACTGAATTGCAAATCCATCACCGGTATAGCTAATATCAGTACCTTGCACAGTCCTCGGTCTTGGTGGTGCATTCAGTCTGCAGAACACCATCTGTGTAATAGAATCGGTTGAATAAACCATGACAGCAGTGGTGTGGTGACAAGGGAGCTCATTTTGCATTCACACATCCAATTTAAACATCTCACCTGTTGTTCCCTACACCCAGTCAAGATTTTAATATGGAGACACTCCATCCATTTTTCCACTAATACAGCCACAGCACAGGTATCACCCACACACCACAGTGCAGATTTCAATAGGTTTAATGTTACTCTGAAGCCTTTTCCAGCTGCAGCAGCAGACACTGAAAAATCCTGAACAGTCAAGCAGTTCAGTATTTGCAGAATGCTTATAATATCAGTTACTTATCTGCCTCAGCATGGCAGATCATTTTCTGTTCAACCAACCAACCAAGTACATTTTCAGCTCTGCAGTATGTCCAATTAATGTTTTCACATACAACAATTTGTTATTATATCATGTTGTGCGAATGTTAAGGAAGTATGGCAGAAAATGCTATGTCAATGTTTATTTCAGCTGCACTAACTGAGAATAATATCAATGGAAGTCTCTGCTAACAGCTTATGTTATGTGTGCAGCTGGATGTTTTATTCCATAGAGCTTGACAACTCTCGTGCTTACTTACATAACTGAAATGGCATCATGTTTATCTATCTCAGTGATGTTTAATCAGAACCATTGACAAGGTCATTCTTATTAGTGTTGTTATTTAATTTTAATTTTTATATAGAGTTACATAATTAAATGTATCAGCCATATGAAGTATTCAGAGCCAACTCAATTATTTACAGCAGCGCTCAGACATAATAATTAATAAAAAAATAAATAATGACCTTATAGCTCTCTGCAAACAAAGTAGCTCAAAGAACCCCAGCCTACAACATAACTATACTCTGTGTTTGGGTTGTGTGTTTTTTTGTTGTTGTTGTTGTTTAAGTCTGGTGTTCATTGCGTGTGGCAAGTGAGTAGGTCTGTTTTTTGTTTTGTTTTTAAGAAATGGAGACAATAATCAGTTTTGGGTTTTGTTTTGAGGCAGAACAAGCCTGAAGTCATATTGGGCCCTGCAGAAGTCTAAAATTATGTATTATGTGCTGTCGATATCCTGAGTTATACTAGTTTTTATGTTTTAACACATGATAAATTAAATCAATTACATAATTTGCTCTTGCACAGAAGGAAAAATTGTTGATAAACACTAACAGTTCACATCTGTTTTAGGTCAAAGTAATAGATAAACCAGTCTTTTTCCTGTATGACTCAATCTTCATTCATTTGCTTTATTTATTGGTGCATAGCTGCTATTTTCTGGAAAGGTTGTTTAGTGCGTCACCATGAAAATAACTTGAGGCAATAACTTCATCTCTTGTTTTGTTTGCAGGAGGTCGAGGCTCTTTTTAAAGGGGACAACTTACCCAAGTTCATCAACTGTGAATTTGCCTACAACGATAACTGGTTCATCACCTTTGAATCAGAAGCAGATGCACAGCAGGTAACAAAAGTGACAAGATAATATATTGTATTATCTTAGTGTTGTTTGTTATTTTCCTTGGAAATCACAATAAAAAAGGGAGTTAATGTCCAGCCTGTTGACCTTCACACACACCAAAGTACCTACATGGTTTAGTCAGGAGGATGAGGATAAGGGTAAAATTCATGGATTAGCCCTCAACCACAGTCTTTTAGAAATGTAAATAAAGTTTTGTCCTACTGATGTTCAGACATGCACCTTCCATGATATTGCTCTGCTAGTTACTAGTCCCATAAGCTAATGGTCAAGTGCATATTGAGTCTGGGGACACAGAATTACGTCCCGTCTCCCGTCTCTCTGTCCTCTTCATATGTACAAGATCACATCTCAGTTTTCTCAAATAGCCCCTTTTTTCTTAAAACAAACTCTTTCCCAATGATTTTGGTTTCCTGGCATTATTTATTATCCTGCTTGAGTGATTGCCCTGTTAGTAATAGGATACTTTAAGATTCTTCTAGCACATAGATGAATCGAGTCATCATGTGTATTTCTGTTTGTGTGTCATTTATCTCCATCTGGTTATTTAAAGTGGTGTTTTTCACTGTGTCTTGATAAAGGCATATCAGTATCTCCGGGAGGAGGTGAAGACCTTCCAAGGGAAGCCTATTAAGGTAGGTGACATTACATTACATTACTCTGATTTTAGGCTTTTGTCAAAGATAATTTACAATTATTGTCGTGTACTAACAAAAGCTGACCCAACAATGTCATACAAAGTGACAACTTAAACCTCCAACATTCAAATTACTACATACATAACCATTTTTATTGACCTACTATATGAGTTAAATATACATATATTTATCATATAATTCACTCTTATGTAAACAGTAACCTTTGACTGTATGTTAGAGAACTTTCCTCACTGCTTCCTCAGTCAGCTGAGGCCACTGACTTTCTATAAGGATGAGTGACATAAAGCTAAGAGCATCATATTTTCATCAGTATGAACTTTGGTCAATTGTTGCCTGATTTCAGGAAAGAAAATCTCTACATTAAACACCCTCAAGCACTCATTTGTGCTGTGAACTTTCTGCTTTCAAGTACCGGTCAACACCCAATTTTTCTTTTTGTTCATTTCACCCACTCAGCCATGCGTCTGTCTGTGGGCAATTCTTTTATTTTTTGTGATGAAAGGACTGTGTCACAGTCAGTTTATGTGCTTCAAGCACATCTGAGCACCCACAAAGTCTTAAATGTTGAATTTTCATTAGTGAAGAACAGGACTAAGATATCCTTCCTCGTGCATAATTAATCAGTGTCACAAAGAAGCACACATCAAGGTTTTTGGCAGTGAAATCTCAAATCACAGACCTTCACGTAAAGGGTTTATTCAGAGGTGATGTGACTTCACACTTTTAAGTAGTTCCACTAATGTATGAAAATCCCCATTAACACCACTGAAGAAAAGCCTGGCTGGGTAGAGCTGCTCCTTCTAATCTTTCTTTTTCCTGCTACTCTTATATAACATGTTGTTGAACTGCACACTGTCAGAGTTATATTTCATTGGTTCTTTCATTTACAACACTTAATTTACACTTAATGAATACATTCAATTATAGAGCACAACAATAACTTCTGTTTTCAGGTCACACTGGCTTACAGTCACCACATGTTGTACGTGAAAATTTATATGTGGCTGGCTACCTGTGCATTTGGCAAGCTCTTACTGACAATATTAATCAGGTTGAAACATTTACGAACCTTCACCAGGCAGCGTGTTTCCTACTAAGTGATTAGCAAGAAGCTGATGGTACAAATATATATATTTAATAAAAAAAGACCAGATAAACAAAGAAAAAGATGTAGACACAGGCCGATATTTATCAGAGGGCTTAAAATGAAAATTTGGAATTGAGTGCAAAATAAATGAAAAAAATCCTTCACTTTTACTCCTATTTGCAGATGTATTTGCTCTTTATAAAATTTTAGCAGACTTTCCTTCCTGCTTCAGTTTGGTTTTCTCTTCATCCCAGGGCTCGACAGTGCGAGTGTTTCACTCGCATTTGCGACTAAAAATAGGTGTGTGCGAACTGTAAAAAATATTTAGGGGCACATGTGCGCATAAAAAAATCAGCCGAAACAGCCTATATTTTTGTCAATAAAAAAATATGATAATCTAACTGCAAATGTTGGAGGAACTCTAGCCGCCTTCCCTCTTCCCTCTTCCCTCTTCCCAGTGTGACACGGTTATGGGCGGTTTTCCAAGCCACTGTCGGCACAATGAATATAAGTCCCACTGTCGGCTGGGTGGCAGTAAGTCAAAGTGTGGCAGAGAAGAGGGACCAGGGACGTTTTTTGCTATGGGCAATGTGGGCGACCGAACAGGGCACAATCTATGTGAGGGCGCACAAGCGCCCTCCAAAAAAAAAACAAAAAAAACAAAACAAACAAAACTCGCCAGTTTTCTAGACTACCACTCATTTCCACGTCAAGTTAGTGGAGTGGGCGCTGGGGCACCCCTATTATCACGTTTCAACCAGCAGCAGAAAGGAAAGGCGAATCCTGGCGGTTGTGGGTTGAACGGGGGTCATAGACAGGAATACGGCGGAGGCTCATAGGGGAGGGATGGTTCGCCCAGGGCATAAAACTAGCCAGGACTGCCTCTGAGAGGGACCGGGAAAAGCGGCGGACCTCCGGGGAAGCCTGCTCCTTTCTCCCCACAGTTAGGGACCGTTCGCCACGGTACCGCTGCTGGGCAGGGTGGAAATAAGTCCTGCGGAGTTTCAGAGGACCTGGAGAATGTTTAAGGATAGTAATAACATTATATAAGATAATCATATTGTAAAAATAATATATATAAGATAATAACATTAAAGACAAAATTAAATTGCAATACTTTTTCAAAACTTGATGATTTTACCTTTCTGTACATTTTGTATACAAATTCATTAAATAATTTTGCTTGTAAATGTCTATTTGCATCACGTTTATTAATTCTTTGTCCACTGTGGAGGCTTGCAAGGAAACACAATTTTTTCTGTTACGAATTCAGTGTAATACAGGATGAGTCATTTGGGGGGTTGAGTATTCCTTTAAGTACAGTACTTAAGTAACTGGACTCTGTGTGTTTTTTGTGAGTGAAACTGCATTATTATTGTTGAAAGCCCCAATATACCCACCTAATGGGACACCAATACAACACTGGTTTTAGTGGAGCAGTAGGGGGGATAAAGGGTCATGCTCAAGCTAACCTCAGCGATGGCAATAAGGGCTACTCTTATTATTCCTTTATGTATCTATATATCTATGTTTGAGGTAGAAGAGATTTTCCACAACCTGCTTTAACAGCTTCTTTTTAAAAGCATAATCATACAGAATCATACAGACAGACATGATTATCTGTTAGAGTCTTTGTTATGTATTTTCATCCAATCAGTCTTTATTTGATCAATTTACATTGTGCCCCTAAAGTTCTTTGTGCGCTCCTTACTTTTTCAACTTAGGAGCACATGTGTGCCTTGGGGTGGGTACATTTTTATATTTAAGTACATTATATTGTTGTTACACATGAATTGATGTTGAGGATATTACATATATATGCATGTTGCTGGCTGGTACTAATTTGCCACCCTGTTCTGGTTCTCTCCGCCAGGCGAGGATAAAGGCGAAGGCAATTGCTATCAACACTTTCATGCCAAAGAACGGTTACCGGCCGGTGGAGGTGAACCCGTACGCCCAGCAGCGCTACACATCCTACTACATCCCACCGGTTTACAGCCCCCAGCAACAGTTCCCCTTATACAGCCTCATCACACCACAGGCCTGGTCGGCCACACACAGCTTCATCGACCCCACACTGGTAAGTGTTAGCTGGTAGATTTGGTTTGCTACAAACAATGATAATTCTAAAGTGTTTTTAAGAAAGATAAGAGTAGTTTTGAATCATTGAAGTTAAGGAAGAGGGATGTAATAAGACCGTTTGGGTGTTAAAATGGTACAATTCTACATTTAAAGCCTTAAAAGTCAGCAAATACTTAACAGAGCTTTTTACTTACTGATGCACTTTTATTTAACAGCCGGGCATTAAAGGAGTACTTCACCCAAAAAAAGACAAGTTTTAAATCAATCAGTCAAGCTGTGTTACCTTGAATCCCAGAAGACAACTTTGTTTTTGCTCTGCTACTGTATGCGGATTTCTTTCCAGACTAATTTTCAGTATAAAGCATAACTTGAAACCATCAAATTAAAAGATAAGGTCCAAAAATATCTTAAGTCACTTTCCTCTCTGAGCAGATACTCATTATCTCATCTAAATTTGTAATTTTGACGTCCGACGTCTGTTTATTCAGCCTATGAATCTTGTTTTCTGTCTACCAGGTTGCACCATTTCACAACAACCAGTTCATCAATGGATTTACCACATCACACAGTTTCAAACCAGCGACGTCCCCGCTCACAGTCAGACACTACTCGCCCAGGAACAGGTTTGTATCTGAGGCTTTTCATTCACTAATAAAGGAGCAATGCAGGAAAACAAACATTGTGAAATCCTGCTGTTAGAAAATGTTATATATTGGAAACCGACTTCCAGAAGTCTATCACATATTGTTTTTTTCCCCTTACAAGGTCTTAGGACATATCATTTAAACACAAAGCCTTGAATGTGGTTAAACATGTGATTAATTGAATTTCTGAAGTGTCCGGTTTCTTCTTGACAAATGAACACAAACCATTCAGAAAGTCTTGCAACATCTTAATTGCAGCTTATTGCTGATTGTAGCTGAGTGATTTTCCACACGGCACACTTTCTGACTGTAGTGTTTCGGTTTCCTGCAGGAATCACAGTAAACCTCACTTGAGGCCAACCATCCCCACAGCGGACCGCAGCACGGGGCTCCTGGACAACCCGGGTCTCTTCCCCAGCTTCCCCAGCGAGAGGCTCAACGGGGTTCGCAGCAGTCCGCCAACACGACTCCCCACCAGCCAACCCAGAACCAGGTTACCCTCCACCGCAGCCTTCCCCCGCAGGGACACCGTGGGCACGGGGCGAGTGACCGAGCCCACAACCCCAGACTACTCCCTGGGTATCGGCCGAGGAAGGTACGGCACTGCTTTAATGCATAAATACTGCTGTGTGCCCCTGAACACTCTGTGGCCAGACAGCAGTATTATGCAACTCCCCACCAGAGTCCTGATGATACGGACACACATTTCCTCAAATTTTCTGATCGTACATTGTACAAAAAGTTCAAAAGCAACCACAAGCGGTACTCATCAATTTCAAATTAGTAAAACTGGAAACTTGAGCTTTAAAAAAAAAAGCAAAAAACAAACATAAAAAAAATATAATGACTATATTCAAACATGATGCACCTCACAGCAGTAAGCTGCAAATTAGCGTCTGCTTGAGGCATATACATTTTATTTTATGGTATGAATGGAAAAAAAGGGGGAGGAAGTAGCTCACATAGTCTTTCTATGTGGAAAAAAACATGAAATAACTACAAAATAGAGCTCTGCTGCTCATCTTCGATAACATTGGAGATTAGATTGAGCTCTCTCAATCTGAAACGTAAATCGTTAAATGCCGGTTGCCATATTAAATGATGTGAGTACTCTAAAATATGGTTCATGTGGTGCAGAAGTGATTCGTTTTGTGTGTGTATTAGGTGAAGTCATTGTTTCAGATAGAATGGATGTTTGTAAATTAAAGTGTTCTCTTTCTTAAAGGAAAAATGTTTCTACTTCTAGGAAAAAGAGGGACGAAAAGTTTACAGTAAGTACTTTTTGATGTTCTAATGTAGCTTTGGTGGCTTTTTTATGTCGAGACTAATGAAAAGGAAAACAATTAAAGTGGGGTTGAATGAAATTATGCATAGTAGTTTCATTGTTTTCCTTTCGGTTTTAAGCTTTTAGTCAGTCTAGAGCTATCAGCTCTTGCAGAGCTGTTGACAGACGTCTTGTCGTTTGACTGACTGGTTGTAGTGTGACTTTTACCACTGCTTGGTACAGCAGTTCTCTACTCAACTCAATTCGTCCTTTTCTGGTTTTCCATTGACAAAAGTCGTGCATAGTGTCTGCTACTTTTTAGCACCACCTGGGTCAATGTTCTAAGTGAGCTGAGCCAATACCAGAAGGTGCAGTGAAAATACTGCTGACCATTGATTGGTCAGAGTAGTATCACTTGTGCGACACTGCATAGCCTGCACAAACATGACATTTTTAAATAGCCAAGCCACTGTCAAAAGCAACCACAATTTTTTTTTTTTATCTACACCTCCCAGATTTGAAAAAATAGCAGCTTGCAAAACCATAGTGTACACTAAGTACACTATGCATTACAATTGACAAAGTGCAGACATTCCTCTGTTTGGTTGTTGAAAGGGTTCAGCAAGTGTCACATTGAGGATACTGTCACAGCAATTTCACTCAGTGTCGCTATGGCAATCAACTGAGAATTGCACCTAAACTGAGGAGGTACTACCTGCAGTGGAAATTGAGATAGAAAAAAGGACCTTGTTCCAAACATAAGTTGAGTTGAGTCGAGCCGAGGCAAACCTTTCGGTGGAAATGAGGCATCTGTGATTTAGGATAATTTCTTTTCCCTCCTCCTCTGGAGTTTTGTGCTGACTCTGTGTTTCTTGCCGTCGTGTAGAGAGTGACGCCACAGTCGCCACCTCCTCCTCCCAAACCTCCGTCTCCTAGCTTTGAGCTAGGTCTCTCCAGCTTCCCTCCCCTTCCCGGAGCAGCCGGTCAGCTCAAAACAGACGACGTATTCGACAACCGGCTAGCCAGCAGTGTAGTTGTCGGAAACGCCAAGGAACGGGTAAGGACTGATACTAAACCTGAGCTAACTCACCCTTTATTCCATGCAAATATTACATGCTGTTTGAATGAATGCATATATGATTCAGCCCTTGATCAACTTATTACTAAAGAAGAAATAATTATAGTCCTGTATTTAAGTTTATGCAGTTTGGTTCAGAGATCTTTTGGGGTGAACGTCAGGTTATGTCAGAGTGAGCTGGTGTCTACCCCAGTTAGTTAGAAATAATCCAATTCTACAAAAGACTATTACTTTACCACCTTATCGTGTACAGGACATTTACAGAGTGAGACTCCTAGCTGTCAAAAAAAAACACTAACAATAAAATAAACCTTCCATAAGCCAGTAGATCTCAGGGTTTCTTACTGTTTAAAAGTGCATCCATCTCATTTGAATTAAAGAGCACCTGTTAGATTTTTATGAAATATAGTTTTAGTTTTATTAAGCTTCTGTGAGAGAAAAAAATTACTTGCTTTATTGCTTCACTCTCTGTCTGTCCATGTGTTGTTTTATTGCAGAATGTAATTGCTGATTCCAGTACTGGAGGAGTTCCCTCTCCAGCAGGCCCCAAAGAGCCTCTTCGGTCCTCCACCTCCCCAATGCCCACAAGCTTCCAGCCCTCGCCGACTACCCCGTCCCCAGCCTCTGCCCCGATCCTGACCCCAGCCGCCGGTCCACCACACAGTCCCGCTCCCTCCCTCCCAGCAGCGTAAGAATCACGCTGAAAATGGGAATGTTTGCAAGAGCAAGAAGGGCATTGTGTATGGTGCTATACTTCAAAAGGCTGCAGATAACTAATGCAGCCAGTCAGTTTTCCAGACAAGTGTAGTAGCCAGTGACATTTAAGGAAACTCCTGAAAGCAAACAGTAAAGGGCAAGACATGCTGGTGACTTATTAGGTGTGTCAAAATTAGTAGCTCAACCAAAATTTTCTAACTCTGAGTTCCTTGAGTGGTTCCTTAGTTATTCAATAAGACTTCTTATCTAGAACTATGAAAAATGCTTTGTTACTCATGGCTTCTCCTCAGTTATACTGCACTACAGCAATGCACCCACATAGTATGTTCCACCTGTAAGGATATATTCACCAAAGTGATGATGGGAACAGAAAGATGTGCAAGCATATGGTTCATGAGTACTTTTGCCGACTTAGTTTAGCCTTCAGCACCAGAGGTGTGAGTCTCTGCGCCACACAGGTTGACCTTCCTTTTGCATCACCCCTCACTATAACAGTAACAGTTTCAGTCAAAGACTTTCAAGACAAGACTAGTTTTGTAAAGCTTTGTGTCCGGTCATTGTATTTTCCTCTGTACAATAACACAGCAGGAAAGATATTACACTAGATGCATTTGCATGGACCCTAATTAAATGCCTCATGTAACCTGGCCCAAGAGAAGAAGGAATTTACAATCAGGTTGAGAGGAGTGGTGTAAACATTTACCAATCCGTTCAAAAGGAAAATATTAGCACCTAATAACCATGTAAATGCTTGATCTGATTGTCTCTCTTTGGTTGGAATTAATGTATTCTTTCTGCGCATGTTTGACTGCACATGCTGCTGTTTCCCTACCCCTCTCACTGCTGTTTTTGACAGAATAGTTGATAAATTTGAAAAATATTTAGTGCTCTGCTAGTGCTACGTTCTCTTGTGAGTGCTCTGAAAACGTATATTTTTTGATTTTGAAACAGTAGCCTTATGTTAAATTGTTGGCTGAATCGTGGAGTTGCTGGGCATATTTTCCTAGCAGTATCCTGCTTGAGACATCGGTCAGTTGTATTATCTACAGATAGTCTATATGTGAGGCGTTCAGGGGACATCTGTAACTTGTAGCTACAGAAAATAACCTGGGTTAAACTTAACTTACTATTAAAATGTATCAACAGGTGCAACCACAGTATTAACAGGTGAAACCTCCCTCTTCCCCTGTCATATTTTCGGCAGATTAGATGCTTCACAGCAGGTGGAACCACTTTACGCAAGTCAAAATGTTACATTGCAATAAAATGCTTTGGTGCTTGTAAGCACACATCTTATTGAATCACTTTATCTAGCCTCCATGTAAACAGTTAAATTGGAATATCTAATCAGAGTGATTTCAATTGGAATGAAGAAATATTGTTGATGCAGCTACTGTCTTGTGCATCTGGCTGCTCACAATAAGTTCCTGTTAAGTCTCACCACCTTTTTTTTTTACTTGGCATTGTCTCCTTGTTTTTGTTTATTTCAGGGAGGTGAAGGTGACGGAGGTGAAGCCGAAGGAGGTGCAGATGTCTGTGGAGCGAGTTCCTGGCACTCTGTCCACTGCAAGCAAATCAGTGCAAGTCAACGGTGCTGCCACAGTCAGTATTGATTTCATCCTTACTGTTTTTTTTTCCTGTCTCACCTCAGTTCTTTTTAATGCTTACCCCCTCCCAGACAAATCAATCTCAGCATGAACAAAAGGGGGTAAATTAATCGCCCCTTAATTCTGCAGCATCTCGTATTGATTTTACGTACAGACAGTCAACTGCTGGGAAAACAAAAGTTGTGCATTTTGAAAACAGATACAGATATGAGTCTAAAACATTTACTTGTAACAACTGCGGGCAAAGTTTTTATGATTATTTAGAATTGACTGCACTTACCAATCTCCCATAAGGAAACGGTGCCTTTTAAGGGCTTAGGCAGGAAAAACAAATCCTGCTTCAACACTAGTTAAATTCCCCCTCGGCTTTAGGTTTTAGCATTGCAGTAAAACACAAGTGCTAATGCCTGCAGCTGATGAAACAGGAGGATAGAAAGAAGACTGAGACTTCAGACGTGTGTAGGTGTGAACAGACATCCCCAAAGGACCTGTAAGATGAGGCGAAATGTAATATAGGATGCGGCAAATTAAATACTGTCCACACACCAAATGTGGGTTTGATGAACATATCACTGCTGTCAGGTTGAATCTCTGAAAATGTTTGCCTTTTTAGAGTTGGATAGTGCAGTGGTAGTAACAGCCATGTTTTTGGCTAGTGGCAGTCGCTTTTTGATGTTGTCAAAAATATCTACCACATTTTCATGGCATATGTGATCATTTGTCTTAATGTAGTTTTTAGTTTTTTTAGTTTTAGCAGACAAAACAACAAAATGAAAATGTCTAGTAAGTCTATTATATGTGATACTTAATTCAGTAGATTGGTAAAGGTGGACGTATAACAATATCTGTGCTGGGAGACACGTCCCTGTTGTCTTACTGTAGCATTGGCACTGTACGGTTGGGTACGAAACATGGTGCTTTTAAGGGTACCGACTGAATTACATCGGTACTACAGAGTACCAATTCACGGTAAATCAAACGGTGCCAAAATTTACCCTAAGAGCGCACCTGGAATAGAAAGTAGGAGTCAGACAGGAGGCGAAAGCACTGCAAAACTCACTAAAGCCATGAAGCACCTGCGGAAATCCATGGCTGTCTTCAAGGCTTTGGGCTGTTGCAGCGGCGCTCTGTGGAGTTGCCAGAAAGGAGGCAGAAGCACTGCAAAGTGCCCCAAAGCTGGGAAGCCAGCCAGGGAGCTCCATCAGTGTTCCAGCAAGAGATCTAGTCTGTTTTCTTTTCTGTTTTATTTTAGACATAGCCTAAAGTCACTGCTGTATGTGATTGTGTTTTTAAAATGGCATACTTAGTTCACATATTTGTCGGTTGTGTCTAAACAGAGTGAGAGGGGTGAGCAAACACACATGCACACAGGCAAGCAGCCAGACAGAGACTTAGCTCCGTGTGTGATTAAAAAAAGAGCAGAGCAGCAGAATCACTTGTTGGCTGCAGCTTGTTAAAGGGTACTGTTGGGTACTGGTACCATATTCAACATACAGGTGTCAATATCAGTTCTAAGTTGAACCCAACCCTAGTCATTCGTGTCAAACCATCATGGTGCGTGCAGCACAGTCACATGCACACAGTCGCACATTATTTAGACTGATGTATGTAATGTCAATTCAAAGTTAACAAACGCAGGTTTCGGCTGAAAACTTTTAGCTGTACACTGTTAACAAATATGCTGAGGTACGTTCAACAAGCTGATTGATGTGCGAGTCAGTCACATCAGGGCAAGGGCAAATGCAGTGCTGGAGCTAAAAGACCCGACTGCAGGTTGCCAGTCAGCTACAACAGCAACAGAGAAAGAGTTGTGTAGAAGACGATAATGGTGTGTCGGCATTGCTCCACAATTGTAGGGTCTGGAAATGGAAACAAATCCAACATGCTAACACACATTCGACAGCATCACCTAGATGTGCTGCTTACTGAGATGATAGGTGTTTGGATGCCTTGAATGTATAGCCATGGTGGAACAAATTGAAACACTCCTAATGCACAAGTTAAATTTTGTATTGCTACATGTCAGAGGTTGGGGACTTGAGTCACATGACTTGACTTGAATCCGACTGCAAATTGCAAATTTTGAGACTCGTTTGACTAACACTGACTCGACTTGACCTTGACTTGGTATTCATGACTTGAAACCTGACTTTGACTTGAGACAGGTGACTTGAAAGGACTTGACTTTTTAAAAAGTAATTATTTGTATTTTTCTAGATATTGAGAAGTTACGTTTTGTTTTTAAAATATGATGATGCACATATCGCGACAGGGGAGGACCCGCCGGCCGATATTCATGCCCATGCTACTACTTCCTCCTGCCTGCAGCTCTCCTCAGAGGAATGGCAGTATGTACAGCAGCATCATGTGCTTCACTGTGTGCTTTTATTCAGTTCTATCTGCATGTTACATGCGAGATCCTCCTCTTATTTGTACAAGGTTTTGATACTGCCACAGTGCGTAACAACTGTTCCTGCCTGCTGTCCCAACATAAGTTCACTATCTGTGAGTGTATGTGCGCTTGCCGTGTGCATCCGCGTGCTATGAGATAGTATCTCCAGTGACTTTGGAGATTTTAACAGTGCGTTATTACCTCACTTCACAGCAGCAGGTATGTTATGTGAGTGGAGTCCTGACCAAATTAATTGGCTCGACTTCACTTGCTTAATTTTCACCACAGTGACTTGTGACTTGCTTGAGACTTGAAGTTTATGATTTGAGACTTGATTATGACTTGCACATGTGTGGCTTACTCCAACCTCTGTTATATGTATTTTGTTATTTTCAGTTTCATAGAGTAAGAGCTGTTTTCAGTTTTACAGCCTGTTGTCACCTGTTGCCTCTTGGGAAAGTATTTGTTCAGTGTTCCTACATTGTCATACAGAAGTGTTTGAGTTGTTCCTTATTTTTCTGAGTAAAATAGTTAACCAAAGTTGTCAGAGGGCAAAATGTGACCTCAGTCCAGCAGGAGGATTTTGTCTTTAATCCTTTCAGAAGGAAATACATTGATGATCAACCTGTCAGGGCCAGTAGAAGAGTGCTGGACAGGTGCAGGTGATGTGCAGAATATTTAATGACTATGTTGTTCTGCTGCCAGGAGCTGAGGAAGCCTTCCTATGCTGAGATCTGCCAGCGGGTGAAGGACGCCCCGACAGTACAGCAACCACCGACCCCTAAGGAAGCCAAGCCAGCCTGCGCTGCCCCCGCAGGCGAGGAGAGGAAGTGCTCCGATGCTGCCACCCCTGCAGGGGAGGCCAAGGCCAGAGAGACATACCCTCCCTCCTCCAAACCCGGCTCGGCTGCCGTCACCCCGGGCAGACCCCCGAGGGAGGCCCGAAGGCCGGGCGGGCGGTGGGCCTCCCCACCCCCACACCCAGGGAAAACCCCCAGCAAAGATCCCCACCACACCCCACCAAAGTCCCCGCAGTAGGGCAACTCCCTGCCCCTCCCTGAGTCCTCCAACCCCCCAACTACGCTCCACAGATGCGTTTAAAAAGAGGAAATATAAGTCAGGGCTACTCAATACTTATATCCCAGAATCACCAGTCACAACAAGAATAGAGGACGCCTTCTTTTCTGGATCAGGGCTTGCAGACAAAAAGCACTTTATTGTGCATGTAGAGCACCGTTTCATTCTTTTTATTCTATTTATTTGCCTTTTTTATTTGTCAGTTTTATTTCTCCTTTTCTCTTTTTGCATTACGTAGTTGTGTCAGCCTATAAGTCGGCACAGACAACACTGAAATTTATTCATTCTGTCCAAATGGCCTTGTGGGATTAAATTAGTCTTGTGTGCGAAGCAGCAGGGCATTGTTGGAAGCCACCCCAGTGGATGATGGGAAAGAGTGCGTACAACAGACTCCACCTTGTTTGGCTCTCATAGTGAGGGGTTTGTTTGCATGTTGAGTGGCACCGTTGTGCAACTTCATGTAGCTTAATTATGGGTCATAATTAGCAGATGTGTTTTTCAATACATATTCATATCCATATGCAAGACTTAACATCTAAATGTCACCACAACGAGATTCAGATCCTTTTTGGTGTACATTGCCTCAAACTGAGTTTTTTTGTTTTGTTTTGTTTTTTTCTCCCCAGATTTATTTATACTAGATGACTCTTGTTTGTTGTTTTTGTTTTCTTCAGCAGCTGAGCTTTGTCTGTGAACTTTTGGTACCGTTACTCCTGGTAATCATCGCTGGGTGTCGCCTCAGCGATTTCTTCCTCTGATCATTCTCTCTGTAAAGAATCGCCTCCCTCTGCTGTGTTATTGATTTTACTGTTTGCTAACACTGCTAACTAGCTAGCTGTATTGCTTAGCTTGTATCTAACGGCTGTGATGTGATATCAGTGCTGTTTTTAGCATCGGACAAGAAGGGCATGTGGATATCTGCAACCAAAAGACAAATTGGGCATTGAGGCACCTGTTGTCACCCAAGATATGTTTGTTGAGAAAGTCTTGAAGTGGATTAAGGTGTGTGTTTCTACAGCTCACAGTGTGTGTAAAGACATTTAAAGAATCGGAGGAAGCTAAATTTTCTCAGCATTGCATTTTTGGGGAAAGCAGAGCAAGCTTTCACAGCTGCAACACTCTCTTCTCATTTCCTAATAAAAACTGTGGAATAAAACTTTAATCAGGCACATACTGTCGAAGGAAGACATGGGGAGGATTGTCGGCCGACAAATTTAAAATTCAGTTGTGACAATAAAATGTCCGCTTCCTGTCTGAAGCGGTTCAGTTCACTCTGGAGTTGTGATCAGGAGGGAGGAAGTTAACACTAGCTAGCATTCATTTGCTCGGTCTCTGTATCATTGTGACAGATGACCAGCTGTCATAAGGAGGAAGCGTTCTTGTTCTGAACATCTGCTGAGACAACGTGACTCTTTAGGGGACATAAAGTGTTAGTTTCCTGCACTCAAGAGTTGAGTTTGGGTACAGAGAGGTGGCAGTGGGATGTTTCTTGTTTTTCTCCTCTAGAAATGGTGCTAGATGTCGAATCCTGGAACCTGTTACTACAGCTCATCTGATATTGTATGTAGAAAATACTTGATTCACGTCAACAGAACTTAATTTGCACTGTAAGCGTTCTCTCAGACTCACAGGCAAATGTGTAATTTGATTATCATACCTGAAGCGAAAAAGGGAATTGATCCTGAAGGGAGGGGGAAAAAAAAACTGCAAATTCAGTTTTCCAGGAGCAAATGAACCCTGCAACACCATCCCTGTAGACACAATCGCTGAAGCCTTTTTGTTTTTTCGTTGTCGTGCCTTGTGGATGCCTGTTGAACACACTGGTGAAGGATGGACGTTTGTGCAGCGTCACATGACTTTACAGATTTATCTAGCTTGTTGTATTTTTGACTGCTCGTTGCGGATGCTAATATTTATTTTTGCTGACGGACTTGGTGCTCGCACAGGTATGCAGTGGTTTGGATTTTGGCCTCTGGTTCTGTATCAATGAGGATTTTCATGGAGAGAGTGGTTGTAAAACTGTTGAGTTGGAAAGTGAGATGGTTGGATAGACCTAGAATGTTTTATAAAAACAAAAAGCTGATGAAGGTAAATGATGAGTGGGTTTTTTGGAATGTAGTTTGCCATGTTGGAATGTGAAAGGGATTTTGTCGGGAGTCCCGTTGGGGCTCGTGTTAAACCAAACATCCTTTAAATAATTAGGCGTTTAACAAACAGGCAGACAAGAGCAGTTGGGTTTACAGCAGGAACACGATGAGGGAAATCTGAAACAGTCGTGTAAAATCCATCCTCAGGATGAAAATGTTCAGCTTCTCCTTCTTCTTCAGCGCACAGTCTCTACCACTGGGGTTGTCTGTTGTTTGTTTTGTTTTACTGTCAGCATCTTCCGTCGTCTGTTTCTTCTAGTTCGAGTTTTCACACTTTGATTTATCCTGAGTTGTTTCTTTTTTTAAAAAAAAAAAAAAAAAAATAGAAAAGATTGACCAAAGCACCGCAGTCCTTCTTACTACTTCACTCCTGTTTTCTGGGGATAAATTGCACCTGGCGAGTTAAATTTAAAGCACAGTGTAAAGGAAACCAACCTTTTACATCCTTTACTCACCTTGAGCCCACAGAATGTGCTTCAGGATGGAGAAGCTAACAGTGCAGGCTCAATGGGACTCAAATCGAGCGGCATTTCGGATGACAGCTGTTTGTTGGGGAGCTGGTGGAACATTTCGATTCCTCGGTCAGAGTGAAGTAGCAAGAATTCGAATGCAGGGAGGAAACTTGTGTTAAATTAAAGGTTTGGTTGGGAGGTCTGTCTACTGTAGCAGCCACTCTGACAGATAACCAACCAAGTCTTGGATATCTTACTGTTTTCTAAAAATGTAATTGGCTGGTAAATTTGTAAAAATGATTGATACAGGAGTTTTGAAAAGACTCGAAATAACAGATGAATGACAAAACTGTAAGTAGGAAATGTCAATAGTTAGTTTTTTGGGCAGCGTAACAGAATTGAAGTGAGTTTCCCTCCCTGATCATCAGTTGTGTGCTTGGGTTTAATCTTTTATCACCTCAGATGCAAAAACACCCTTATAAAAACCACTGTACTATACACAATATCTGTTCTGGGGGAAACACAAACCTGCACGACATGGGACCTCACATGTCTCACCAAAGTCTTCCTGCAACAAGAAGCATTCTGGATAATTCCACTGAGAGAAAACAGGCCATCCGGAGAGGGGAATGCTTCATTAAAAAGCCTGTAATCCCCTTTATAGCTGCTTTTGATTTGGACGCTAAATCTTGAGTTTGCTAAATATATATATATATATATATATATATTTTTTTTTTTTTTTTTATTTATTTTCTTTGAAGGACTGAGATGCACTTGGATGGGTCAATTTTTTTTCTCATTGGTGGAAATGGTAAAAGAGAAATGCACCATATCCACTTACTTATAAACCAATGCTGTTTATTCCATGAGAAATATCGTTAAGTTTTCTTTTTAGGGAGAAGAAAATAAATAGAGATGCATCGAGGTCTCTATATATATTCACAAAATGTAAAAAAATTTCCATCCAGTGTTTGAGAAACTTGAATTTTATTTAAACTTGAAAAATGACTTTGCCTTAACTTTTATACAAGACAAGCATAGTTTATTTCTTTTCCAAAAAAAAAATCCCCAAAATGTTAACGAAGCGTGACACGTGGAAAATATTTAGTCGTACCAGACGTCACAAGTCTTACTGATAGAGAGAGAGAGAGAGTACAAATCTAGCAGCGTTTTCTTTCTTTTCCCTGTTTTTTTGTTTTTGTAAAATGTACGAAAAAGAATCATTTTTTTGATTGTTCGTTTTGTTTCTCGTAGTTTTAGGTTGTTTTGTTTTGGGGAAAAATATAAACCTTGTAAATGCAAAACTAGTCAATACTGTATTAAAATTGTGCACTTTGAAGTGTGTGCTTTGCTTGTACAGTTGTAAATACTCAGAAAAATATAAGAGGTACCTTAAAATGATAATAAAAATATATTGATCTTGTTGAACTATTAATGTCGCTATCGAGCTGGATGTAGGATATAAAAAAAAAAAAAAACGTAATGTCGTGCTTTTGGAAATATTTTTCTTTAAATTTTTTTATTTTTAGTTTTGGTGTGCAGAGTTTGAATCCTACTCCTCTCTGAGGGGTGGGAACCTTGTCTGATTGTACAATTTCTGTTTTTGTTTGTTGTCTTTCATTCCATTTTTGTACCTGTGTGGTCGGTTGCACCTGAGTGTACAGGTGTGTCCTTATCCCCGACCTCCCCCTGACTGTGCACTAATTGAAAAGAGCCTGTGGTACTGACAAGCATCTTATTAACGAACCCTACGAAGCTGCGTGTCCACCAACATCCTCTTTAAAGCTCTGGCTTTTGTTTCTTCTACTGTTTACGCGTGGAATTATTTTTTTATTTTTTTTCCAAGATATTTTTGCTGTTTTTTTTTTTCTTTTAGCACAAGAATCTATAAGTGTGAAGCTGTTTAGCAGAAAATAAAAGCACTACATGTTTTTTTTTCGTCACTGTGCAACAGCTGCAGCCACTAATGCAAGGTATTTTCGACATCTTTAAATACTGCTGTTACAAAACCAAGAAAATCGATGTAACGGAAAAGCTACAGTAAACGTATTAATGTTTTCCAACAGAATCGTAATAGTTTCAGGGGGGAAGTATCCTCATGTAGACCATGACACTAATACTGAACATGGATATACCAACTTGATTGTGACATACATATGCAGCTCAACAGCTTATAATCAAACTGTATCATGTCCACGAGATGGGCAGCATGACTAGACAGCATCTAATGTTAGACAATATTAATACAACAAAGAGTTGAAGTTCTGCCTTTGTTTAAGACTTAACTCCAGTTTTGCTTGAACTATTTGTGGTTCTCTGTCCTTATTCAAAGATGATTGCTTATCTTTTACTGTACTGGATGTTAACATTTGTGCATTTTGTCATCAAGGGAAATATTCTTTCTTTCTGAGAGTGAGACGAGAAGATTGATACCACTCATGCCTGTACAGAGCTGGATCTGTTTAACCTAGCTTAGCACAAAGACATTAAACGGGGGAAACGCAAGCTAGCCTAGCTCTGTTCAAAGTTCAAAAATACATCCACCAACACATCTAAAGCCCATTAATCATCATGTATTGGTTAAGGAACTGCAAAAAAATAGTTCCAGCACATAACTCCCATTAAAATCAATCAGTCATATTTGATCTTTGGACAGAGAAAGGTTAGCTATTTACACTCATTTCCAGTCTTAATGCTAAGCTAGGCTAACCATGTCCTGACTCAAGCTCTGTACTTTTGTACATTTGGAGTGGTATCGAACTTTTCATCTTCCTCTCAGAGAGAAAGCAGATAGGCAGATTAACGATCTCAATTATTGGGACTAATGCCTATAAAATATCAGTTTCTGTACCTATAGATACCTTACTTCATTTTGAAAACACAGGCAGCTGAACAAGAACTTTGCTTGAATCAAATTATTTAAAATTTGTTGTATATCAGAAACTTTCTGACCCAACAAGATTACAATCACACGCCAGCTCGACAAACAATTGGTTTCCAGTTTGGATGGTATCAAACTGAAGATACCCATCCCTACTTGTGAGCTTTGATCATGTATGTATGGCTAAGACTCATGGGAGATGTAGTTATTGATTGATATGATGGTAAATTTTGAGTTTATCTTTGTAAAAATGGGGCTAAATTGTGTTCATGTCTAATCAGTGCTGGTTTTTGTTTTTGGTTCCAGTTGAGCTTTTTTGGATTGGGTCATCTCTTTATTTTATTTTTATTTATTTATTTTTATTTAGTAACTTGGTTCTGGTAGATTTTTCAAGGGCAGCTGTTGCTTGTTTGTCTTAGAATATGGACAAAAAACCTATTGTTTTTAACTTCCTGACAAATGAAACCATCTTGACAAAGTCCAAAATTTGAAAGCTAGAGTTTAACAGAAGCGAAACAGAAAACTCTGGCAGAACTTTGGCTCTCTATATTACCGTGACGTTTTGGCGCACTGATGTCAGTTTGACCTTACCCTTCCCTACGAGCTGCACCTCCTTTAGCCACTTTAAAAAAGAGTGATGCCTGATGGACACGTCTGTTTTGTCTTCTGTCTTCAGACACGCTTTGCTTCAAGGTGTTGTGATGTGTTGATGCCCATGGACGATATCAAACTGAAGCACATTTGAAGCACATTTCAGAACATTCAGCTTGTACAGCACACGACACTCGAGGTGGGAGGTTATTGGAAGCCAACTGCAAAGGGGACGACGAATTTTGGGCTCGTGGATTGTAAATTTGGTGACTTAAAAGGGGAGGGGGCTCAATTCTTCAGACACTTTTTGGGAAATGAAGTGAAATGTTGGATTTGTTGTCATCGTGGCAGGTTGAGCTAAAAATGTCCCCACCCGAGTGTCGATGTCGCTACCAGACGAGACATCCACTCAGCCAAAAAACGGTTAAAACCTGCTCAGTGTTGTTATGTCTACCTGTTTTTCCCTTCTGATTTATACGTTTGAGGTTTCTTGTTCATGTTCCTCAGCTTTCATGACTTCCTCTCCTGAGAAATAAATGTAAAAATAAATTTTTTGTTTTGTCTTTGGGGAGTTGGAGACAGACGCAGAGGCTCAACTGGAATCACATTGTTTTCTTAACATTTTTGAGAGCGACATACTTTTCTGGCACATACAATACAATAACATGCGCAGATTGAGATGTCTGTTAAAACCATTTGATCACGTGTGGACTGCATTTTGATGTGGCAAAGGAAACCATTAACTGTGCCATTACACAACTGTTGTTTTTGTCTTGACTGGGCAGTTTAACCTGTACATAGCTGAGCGCTTTGCCATCCCTGGCTTTTAGTTTGGTGTTTTATTTTCAAGATGTGATTTTTCTTTTGTTCCTGAAAGTCCATCAAAGACTTCTCACATCTGGAGAAATCTACAATGTGACATCACTGACTGTAGGAGCAGTTTTTTTGTGCGTTGTAACTCTGCGGTCGATGCTAGCTGAGGTCGAGGCATGTTCGACCTCAAACTTTTGAGACGTCAAACACAGACGCTGATTACAAACTGGGCATCCCTGAACTGTGAATGTGTGCATGTGTGGATTAATAAATGTACCACCCAGAAATCCAGCCCAATGCAAAGATGACTTTTTTTCTGAAGTGCAGTATCTCAGACTGGATGATACCGCTTTTTGAAGGGATCTCTTATTTTGGCGGTAATGACGGCCGCGAGTTCTGCACGCCTCTCCTATATCGCCGGCATTAACACAAACGCCCATGTCGTGGTGTTTTGAGGAGCTCCTTTATGTCATGGACTTCTACATGGAGCCTCATATCAGCCTGTCGGTCTCCTCAGCTCTCAGTCTCCTCCTTCCTGTTCGCCCGTTTTTGACAGTGCCATTGTTTTGTTTTTTCCTCAAGGGTTGCATCTTGTCGTAAAAATGGACCCCCTTGCGGGTGTTTTTTTTTCCTTAGAGATATAATAACGAATGCACACCAACTGACTGGAACAAGACTCGATCTCTTTATCAACTCACTGTGGTTTAACTCATTAACACTCTTACCATGCTACGCTAACAGCTGTGGACAATCGATGACTCCATCCTGTTGGGGTCTGGACAGATAATTTGCCTAATGACACCTTTAACAGATGTGGAACAGAGGTTGTGTTCAAGAGGGCTTCTTCTTTTTTTCTTTTTTTTTTCTTTTTTTTGGTTTGTTTGATTTTTTTTAGGTCTATTCTTCCATCGAGACTGGAATCAAGCGTACATGTCAGCTATAGATAATTTAAGTTACTCTGTGTCATGATGTAAAAACTGTCTAATTTGAAGAAAAAATGTAGCTTACTGAAAAATAAAGATTTAGGCACTGTTGAGGAGCCACTGTCTCTTTTTTTCGGGCCTTTTATGAGCAAATTAGCATCTTAAATGTGGTGGAATTTCATATATTTTAATTTAAGTTTTTACTTTTCTCCAAATACTTGTTAATTAAAATTGTTAAGCCAATTACATATGGCCCTGCATTTCTATAGTGCCTTTCTAGTCCTCTGACCACTCAAAGCGCTTTTTACGCTACGAATCACAATAGGATAGTAGGTTTCCCACCCGATATCCCTCCATTAGAAGGGATAGAACATGAGATGGATGTCAGACCACCTAGGTGGAAGGAAGTTCAGGAGGTGGTCAGGCGTGCAAAGGCTTCTTCGGCCCCAGGGCCTAATGGAGTCCCCTA